CGTCTAACCCTGACACAGACGACCGCCGGATCTAGCCCTGTGACTTTCGCCGGACGGGGTTTGACCGGTGGACCTTTCCACCGGGTTGTCTTAGCCCAGCCCATAGCTACACCTTCGAACATGGTCCCGGCCGAACCCACCCCAAGATTAACTCTGTGTCGGCCCAACGCGCACGATTCCCCCCTCCATGACATGGTGGCAGTGACGCCCGTGAGGAGGGGCACACCCCGGAGCCGCAGCCCGACTGCTTGCGCCTGCCACCACGCTTCCACAAGCGTAGGAGGGCCCACCGCAACACCTGACGGCATTGCTACCCCCCAGGTACCCCATCCCGTCTAACCAGATTCCCTCTGTGTCGGCCGCCCCCTCCGTGACACGGCGGCAGCGACGTCCGTGAGGGGGGCAATCGATATATAATTGAGGTATATTTTTTGTTTAAATAAGGAACATTTAAGTTAATCTAATTATTTTTTGAAAAAAAAGAAAAAATTTATGAAATAAAGAAAAAATTTAGTACAAATGTATGCCGACGGCAGCTATGCCCACGGATCGACGAAGCCCTGGATCGATGACGTGGCATAGGACACAAATCGATGACATGGCAGAGGCCATGGGCCAGGCCATTGAGATACCTCTGCCACCCCACGGCCCAACGAGGGGGTCGGATCGATGACGTGGCACACGTCGCGGATCGGTGACGTGGAAAAGACCTACGCCAGCAGCCGCTGTTAGGGCTGTCGGCGTAGATTTGACGGCGTCAAACTCCTGTTGGTGGAGGGCTCACCGAGCTCATCATCTATGCCGACGGTCACCGTAGGCATACCGTCAGGTACGCCGACGGCTTCCCATAGGCTGTCGGGATACCTCGGCATATGCCGACGAGGGCCATCGGCATAGATTCGGCCGTCGGCAACTGGGTAAATTCTGGTAGTGGTAATGTGCTAAAATCATGTCACGGTATATGTTGCTCATAGTTTATTGATTTCATAGACGTGTTTACTAGTTGTTAATTTTACTAAGCATTTTACTTTATTACGCAAAAATATATTGGAGTGTCTAAAATTACATAAGTGTGTTTATGAAGCCGAATAATACAGTGACAATGCTTTTTCGCGCGCAACGACCGTGAAGTCGTGAACACAACCACACCATCAACTATTTCACTAAATAGTCGAACACACCTTTGTCCATACCCGTCTATAGTCTAGACCGTGCAGACCGTATGAGATTCTGCAGAACCTTCCATGCGTGCCTGACGGAGAGTAGGCATGAGAGTTATGACCAGCGCAAACAAGCGGTCAAGTCATGCTGTTGGGGGCATGTGCATACCGATCTGCGGTTGGCTGTGTTGCATCTCTAACAGAAATGCTGTACGTAGATTATTCCAACACTTTGATTTGCTGGCGTAACCAAAATACATGACAGAAACTAAAAGCTAGATTAATTTGATGGAGGTGTACACAACACACTTACACACAAGCTGCTGCAAAGTGCTTAGCATTACGGAGACAGTTTAACGGAATAAGGTCAAAACTGAGTGTACACAAATTAGGGGTAAAATAGAAGGGCATAAATGTAAAAGTTCCTAAAATGAAAATCACCGCGGCACTTCCAAATTACCCAACAAAAAGTGTACACCTCCATCCAGATTTGTTTTTTGGTTACCCAGATGCAATGACTTCATATGGCTCATAGTGGACTGGCTAACTACCGTTCTGACCAACTAGCCCAACTATCAATTTCAAGGATTGTCGGTTCACACGGTATCCCAAAGAGCATCGTGTCAAACCAAGACACATAATTTACCTCAAACTTCTAGAAAAAATGAAGGGCCTGAGATGGTAAATGCGACGCAATTTTATTTGACATATATTACCTTCACATAATAAAATGAAATAAAAATGAAAATCAAACTCACTAGCATGTGGGGCCCCAATAGGCTAACCGAGATTCTTAATAATACAAAACGTTCGAAGTTTCACGAAATCGTATGATGGAGAACTTTCATGGAATAGGGAAGGTTTTCATAACATATTTCAGCAACTAGATTACACATGTACAAAATCCATAAGATTTGAAATTAAGGCACTCCTCTACGCTTGGCCCCGGGCTGAGGAGTATGTTGAGCATAACTTGAAAGAATGTGATCAAATGTAGTATAAGGTGGAATTCTTGATTCAAATCTCACTACAGTGGCCTGCATCTTTGGCTTAAGATCCACTAATAGCTCTGTAAAGGTCACCTGTGGTAATTCCTTCACTGGAACATTGTTTGAGCTATTCCAAACGAACTGAAGTGGAGAAGCAGGACGCAGAACCATGTCCGTCACATCTATTGGAAGACCTTTTTCAAGACGTAATTTTGGATGCTCACCAAACATGGAGAGGTTTCTATCAACTAGTCTCCTGCACCTGCTCAATATACTAAGCCAGAAATGAACATTCAGGTTCGTTCTCATTACATCTGCAAACAAATTTGTAGCGAGAATTGACCATCTCGATTGTAACTCTCTGGCAAACCTGTCTTCTATTTGTACCAACTGCAGGTGTTCCCCCAGGTTTGCACTTCCGAATGCGAGTGCCTTGTAGAGGTAGCTGAACTCCTCATATGTCAAGACATTGAGAAAAATTGGATTCATGGTTCCAAATTTCTCCATCTTTTTAAAAAAAATGAAACTCCATGGGCACTAGCACCCATGGTTTTATTGATATAGAAGAAGCATCCCTCATGAGAATTCCAGAAATTCGTCCCCGACGTGGATCGAACTCTGGTTGTTAGGTTTACAATCATGCGCCCCCAACCACTGGGCTATGCCCACGTCCTCTTCTCCATCTTTTTAAGCCTACTTAAGATGATCACTTTGCTTCCTCCATCCATGCTTGCCACATATGAATAAAATGTGGTCCAATCCTTTTCATCCACATCTGAATCAATCTCAACAACTATCAATATCCTCCCTGTCCCTGACATGACACTTCCTCTATCCGCAATTGTATAAAAATCAGTTTCATTCAAGCGCATAATTGAAGAGAAGTGGGAGCAGACCCTCTCATCCTTGCATAAATGTGCAACCAAAGTTTTCTTCCCCACCGCAAGACCCTCTCTATCCGCTATTGCATAAAAATGTATGATTGTTGTGTTAATTAATTTCTTGACAACTTAAGAGTTAACCTCGAGGGTGAAGGGACGTTCAGCAACACAAATATTGATATTTTGTTGTAACTCAGTGTATAATAAGTTTTGATAATTTATTGGTGTCGCTGTTTCAGTCTGTTTAGCATCGGTAAGCCCTCCGTGGTGCCTGGCTGGTTGCTATTGAGCTCGCCATTTTTCCTTCTCCGTGTTGTTTCTCCTCCTCCTCCACAACTCCTCCTTCTGATTGGATCGGGTAGCGCATCAATTGGATACAACGGTAACACCACCCGTTTCTAATCAAATGGGAAGCCGACCCGCATCACGTGCCTGACTGCTAGCTGTAGTAAAACAATGCAACAGGGAGATAAGTTTAACAACTGGCAAAGCAGGTTGCCAGGAACGACAAGATGGTGTGTTTCCTGATGCTTGCTTGATTAAAAGACTCTATTTTAACTAAACCCCAAACGTACAGTCCTCTAAGGTTGCCAGTATCGATGCAAATGCATGCTGGAGCTAGCCCCCAGGGCAGGGCAACCACTATCTTGTGTACTCTGCACACTAACTGAGCGTGAGCTCCACGCACGCATGGATTTCTTTTATTTTTCTTCCACCCAAGGTTGCATCTGAGGCTTGGCATGCCAGCCCAGGATCGATGCATGCTGGAACTACCCAGCACGAGCTGCTGACATCCAAAAGGCCCGCCAGGCAGCTATCGTGTTGTTTTGCTGGCTACTAAATCGGAGCACATTTTATTTCTACATCCGAGTTTTTGCGTGTGTCTGGATTGCAGTGCATCACTCTAATACCCATTGGTATGTCACAGCTAATCCCTACACTAGTAGAAAAAGGGTCAAACGTGAAGCACATTAGTGCCGGTTTGTATTTGAGCCGGCACAAATATATACATTAGTGCCGGTTCCAACGGCTAGCCGGGCCGCTCTCATTAGTACCGGTTCGTGGCTAACCTTTAGCACCGGTTCGTGCCACGAACCGGTACTAATGAAGTGGTGGCAGGATGTTGTCAGTCTGGGCCCCCTCCAGCACCTTTAGTACCGGTTCATGGCACGAACCGGTAGTAAAGGTCGTCCTACATAAACCCTTCGTCCAGCCGAGCTCGCTCTGTTCTTCCTCTTTCCCCTCTCCTCTCTGTTCTTCCCCTCTTCCTCTCGAGCTCATCACACATTTTGCCCAAAATTTGTCAAGATTTGAAGGCCCCCATCCATTCAAATGATCACAAAGGTTAGCAACTTTGTCCTTTCATCTCTCATTGCTATATTAGCTCTTGCAATGCTTTATATAGTTATTAATTTGTGAGTTTAGTAATTTGGGAGGAAATATATATATGTACTAGTATTTGATTTATATGCAATTTGAGGTTAAAATAACACTTAGTTTGCATATGTAGGTGTGGTTTACTTAGTGCCTTCTAAATCTCCGTCGTAACCACCGTCGATCGCCCGCACCGTCCCGTCGCCGGCACCACCTTGTGGTGAGCCTCTTGTTCATGAAATTTTATATAAAAAATTGATGTTTGTGTGATTTGGATATATAGTTACTCGTATAATAATTATCTTACCCGTATGTTGTTTGTTATACATAGTGCCATGGTTTTGATATCCGTCCCCGTCAGCCCTCATCCTTGTTATGATTCGGATGTGGTATATTCTCTTTTAAAACTATTTGTTGCATTTCGTGTTCATGACAAATTATGCCCATCAAGTTGACATAGATATTTTTATCTAGGAGGTATGTGAACCGGAAATTCCAACCGACCCTATTGTCGAGAGGTTAAATTTAGTTGAAAGAGAAAACGAGTACTTGAAAGAAAAATTGAAAAGAATTGAGGGGGAGAAGATGGAATTGGAGTTGCATGTTGCCGATGTCGTCGATGATCACAAGATCAAGAAGGAGAAAATACGCTTGAAGATTAGAAAGATTAGAAAATATGCCATCGATAGTGAGGCTTGGTATCATTATGCTGTTGGATCAATTGTTACCTTAGTTGCGATCTAGATCGCATTTGTTGTTGCATTTATATGCTTTAGCTAGAGAGTTATTTGTTTGTTGCATTTAAGTGTTGTATGAACTTTATGTATGAACTTGTATTAATTTGGTCTATTCGGTGTTGTGTAATGAAGATGAGCCGGCGATGGATATACGATGACCGATGCTCTCCCTAGTTCGTTGAGGGCGTGCATACTTTTCTGCTTGCGGCTGAGGCAAACAAGCGGGCGGATGGTTTTATGCCTTGTCCATGTGCTGGCTGTAAGAATGGTCGCAATTACTCTACGTCAAGAACCATTCACGTCCACCTGTTTGAGTCCGGTTTCATGCCCCACTATAATGGTTGGACCAAGCATGGAGAAAGAGGGGTTATGATGGAAGACAATGAAGAAGAGGACGACGACAGCTATCCTGGGCATGGGTTCCCTGAATACGATGATACAACAATGGGGGAAGAAGCTGAGCCGGTAATGCGGGAAGAAGCTGAGCCGGCAATGCGGGAAGAAGCTGAAGAAGAGGCATCAGATGAGCCCGTTGATGATCTAGGTCGGGCCATTGCCGATGCAAAGAGAAACTGCGCAAGTGATTTGAAGAAGAAGAAGTTGCAGCGCATGTTAGAGGATCATAAAAAATTGTTGTACCCGAATTGCGTAGGTGACAAGAAAAAGCTGGGCACCACACTGGAATTGCTGCAATGGAAGGCAGAGAATGGTTTATCTGACAAGGGATTTGGAAAGTTGCTAGTAATGATAAAGGATATGCTTCCAAAGGACAACGAATTGCCCGAGAGTACGTACGAAGCAAAGAAGGCTGTCTGCCCTCTAGGGTTAGAGGTGCAGAAGATACATGCATGCCCTAATGATTGCATCCTCTACCGCGGTGAGTACGAGGATTTGAACGCTTGCCCGGTATGTGGTGCATTGCGCTATAAGATCAGCCGCGATGAGCATGGTGATGTCGAGGGCGAGCGCCCCAGGAAGAAGATTCCTGCCAAGGTGATGTGGTATTCTCCTATAATACCACGGTTGAAACGTTTGTTCCAAAACAAAGAGCATGCCAAGGCGATGCGATGACACAGAGAAGATCGTAAGAAAGACGGAAAGTTGAGAGTAGCCGCTGACGGGTCGCAGTGGAGAAAAATCGAAAGAAAGTACGGGAAGGAGTTTGCAGATGACGCAAGGAGCATATGGTTTAGTCTAAGCGCAGATGGCATTAATCCTTTTGGGGAGCAGAGCAGCAACCATAGCACCTGGCCTGTGACTCTATGTCTGTATAACCTTCCTCCTTGGTTGTGCATGAAGCGGAAGTTCATTATGATGCCAGTGCTCATCCAAGGCCCTAAACAACCCGACAACGACATTGATGTGTATCTAAGGCCATTAGTTGAAGAACTCTTACAACTGTGGAATGGAACATGTGTACGTGCATGGGATGAGCACAAACAGGAAGAATTTGACCTAAAGGCATTGCTGTTCGTGACCATCAATGATTGGCCTGCTCTCAGTAACCTTTCAGGACAGACAAACAAGGGATACCACGGATGCACGCACTGTTTGGATGATACCGACAGTATATATTTGAATAGTTGCAAGAAGAATGTGTACCTGGGACATCGTCGATTTCTTCCGAGCAGGCATCCCGTAAGAAAGAAAGGCAAGCATTTCAAAGGTGAGGCGGATCACCGGACGAAGCCTCGCCACCGTACTGGTGCTGATGTACATGATATGGTCAAGGATTTGAAGGTGATATTTGGAAAGGGTCCTGGCGGACAATCTGTTCCAAAGAACGCTAACGGACGCGCACCCATGTGGAAGAAGAAATCTATATTTTGGGACCTGGCATATTGGAAAGACCTAGAGGTCCGCTCCGCAATCGATGTGATGCACGTGACGAAGAATCTTTGTGTGACCCTGCTTGGCTTCTTGGGCGTGTATGGGAAGACAAAAGATACACCTGAGGCACGGGAGGACCAACAACGTATGCACGGAGAAGACGGCGTACATCAGGGTCATGCAAGCTACGCTCTTACCAAAGAAGAGAAGGAAATCTTTTTGAATGCCTGCCCAGTATTAAGGTACCATCTGGCTTCTCGTCGAATATAAAGGGAATAATAAACATGGCAGAGAAAAAGTTCCAGAATGACTGCCACGTGATTATGACGCAACTGCTTCCGGTTGCATTGAGGGGGCTTCTACCGGAAAACGTTCGATTAGCCATTGTGAAGCTATGTGCATTTCTCAATGCAATCTCTCAGAAGGTAATCGATCCAGAAATCATACCAAGGTTACAGAATGATTTGGTGCAATATCTTGTCAGTTTCGAGTTGGTGTTCCCACCATCCTTCTTCAACATCATGACACACGTCCTAGTTCACCTGTGCCAAGAGATTAACGTTTTGGGTCCTGTATTTCTACATAATATGTTCCCCTTTGAGAGGTTCATGGGAGTCTTAAAGAAATATGTTCATAACCGTGCTAGGCCAGAAGGAAGCATCTCCAAGGGCCATCAAAATGAGGAGGTCATTGAGTTTTGTATTGACTTTATTCCTGACCTTAAGCCGATTGGTGTTCCTGAATCGCGGCATAAGGGCAGACTGGATGGAAAAGGCACGCTAGGAGGGGAACAAATAATATGTATGGACGGACATTCTCTCACTGAAGCACACTACACAGTTCTACAGAATTCCGCCTTGGTGGCTCCGTATATGGATGAACACAAGAATTTGCTACGCTCCAAACACCCGGAGCGGTCTGATGACTGGATTACACGTGAACAAACCAGGAGTTTCGCCAGCTGGTTGCAGACACATACCATGCATGACACCTTTATTAAAGATGACCTGTACTTGCTGTCCCAGTTACCATCTTCGAATATAATGACTT